GGGGGGGGGGGGTAATTCCGAAAAATGTTTATTATTTTATTCATTTCCAACAGTTTTAACTATAAACTTACAAAACTATTGATTGTTAGAAATAAGATAAGATTAGTTATTGATGAAACATATTCTTATCTTTCTGTGGCCATAATAAAAACTTTATTTCAAACAAATTGATGAAACTCAATAATTTAGTCCATATGAACTAATTTGCAGAAAAGTTTAGTCCAGATGAACTAGTTTGTAGAATAGTTTAGTCCAGATGAACTAGTTTGTAGAAAAATCTTGCTTTTGAGCTGTATAGCCTTGAATCCGTCTCTGTAGCATCTGTATTCGCAACTTTTACCAATAGCTAGTATAAAAGTACATTATGTACCTAGGGTTTGCAACGAACAAAACATTTCGCAAAATTTTGTTTTTTTTGATGAATTTTCGCAAATATTTTGCATTATTTTTTTACTTCCGTTTTTTTCGCGAAATTTTTGCATTATTTTTTCGCAAATTTGCGGAACGATTTTTCCTTTTCGCAGCAAACCTTATGTACTCGAGATATAGTAAAAAAGTACTTATTGGGTGGAGAGATTTACCAAGATATAGTCTAATAAAAGTACATTATGAAAAGATGCATTCATAGATTTAGTATAAAAGTACATATTAAGAAGATGCTTTCCAAGTCAACTTGATTGATCGATTGATTGCAAGAAAACATAAAAATATGAAATTGAAAAGGAATTTCTTTAGTTTATGAAACGAAAAAGCCCCAATTGCTTTTCAACATTTGTTGCTTCAATGAGGGTGAAATTGTAATTTATAAACTTATTTTGTAAACAAGAATATATACCAGGAACTCTCATAGCTTTGTTTACAAATAAGGTGTACTGCAGTTTCTGGGAGGAACACAAACAGTACTACTGTGTTTGTTTACATTCCTCTGCAGTACACCTATTTTGTAAACACAAGTTTCTATGATTTGTATTATCTTGAGTTTCCTGTTTCTTGTTTATTATTTTCCAGTTCGGTAACCTAGTTTTCTTATCTATTTATCTATCTTTCTATCCATTATCTAGACTGTTTCCTGACAGGGATAGGAGGGCAGGGGGTCATGTGAGACATTGAGGGGAGGGGAGGAGAGGATCATGTTCATACATTTCTTGAATAATTTTATTTTGACAAAATATTAAAAATTTAAATTTTTCACATGAAAAGCAAAGTTGAAAATCATTAAAACAATTTTAATTCAATTTAAATTATTCCGAAAATCTAAAATTGAAATCCATTGCATTTTTTCAAGCTGAACTTGTATTTGGACATTTGGATTAAATGAAATATCTCCATGTAATAAATTTTGGACGATAATGATAATATAAATTTCAACATCTTTGTTATGAACAATGCAATTTTTCTGGATGGCTGAGCTTAATTTTTTATATTTGTATCTCCGAATTATTGTGCAATCTTGCGCTAAAACTATTTTTGCAGAACTACGGATCAGGAAAAACCGCAGTTGACAATTCATCTTTATCTATCATATTATATATATATACATATCTAATATCAGTGTACTTGTGGTAGATTTCAAATATTTTTAGAAAATGCGCAACCAACCAATGGTTGGAAGAACCAAACCAAACTTAGTGTACTCAAACCGAAGTTTAACCAAACCAAATAAAACATATGTTTACATATTTCTTAACGATATGGATGGACGGATAGATGTATAATTCGGGGTTAGGATGAATTCGATGACAGATAACATGAAATAAGGAATTTAAGCAAAAAAATATTTCTGAAAAGGGATGATTATAATATGTGGTGTGGGGTGGGGGGTTCTAATAAACTATTGTTATTAAACTGATATGCATATGGACACCCTAACCTGTTATATTAGGTTTATATGTTGTGTTTCCATAAAATCAATCTATCACCCTATTTATTCAATTTAGAATCAACACCTTACCAAATATGGGCACGTTCGCCAAAAGTTAGGACTCATAAAAAGAATAAAAGTATCGTATCTCACATTGAAGATTATTTACAGCTTATTAAGGGTTGGCTTCAAGATAAACTAACACTATGGTGTTTTAAAATATACAATTTTTATGTGGTTTTTATTGAGTAATATTTTGTCGGTTACATGCCCTGCTGAAACGTATCTCTGCTAGTTCACGGTTCTATTGATCTTATTTTCATAGGATTTTATATAAAAAGATGATCAATTATACATTTGAAACAATTTTTCACACTTTTCAACTGAATCTAGTCCGCCCTACTCCTTTCATGTCTGCTAGCTCTCAGAAAATTTGTGATAAATTATTTTCATATTTTGTAAAGAACTCGTCATATATTTAAGATTAAAAAACGTATTGGGGGGGGGGGGTAATTCCGAAAAATGTTTATTATTTTATTCATTTCCAACAGTTTTAACTATAAACTTACAAAACTATTGATTGTTAGAAATAAGATAAGATTAGTTATTGATGAAACATATTCTTATCTTTCTGTGGCCATAATAAAAACTTTATTTCAAACAAATTGATGAAACTCAATAATTTAGTCCATATGAACTAATTTGCAGAAAAGTTTAGTCCAGATGAACTAGTTTGTAGAATAGTTTAGTCCAGATGAACTAGTTTGTAGAAAAATCTTGCTTTTGAGCTGTATAGCCTTGAATCCGTCTCTGTAGCATCTGTATTCGCAACTTCAGGTATATCAGGATCACAAAGCCCAAGATCTTTCTCGCATATCTCGGTGGTATCTAGGTTTGCTTTAATGCCCTCGTAAATGATGTCTCCGTACTTACTGAAGAAATCATCACACTTCTTTCCAATGAATGGAAGCATTTTGCACACCATAGAAGAGTCAAAGGCAGCATCAGTGAGGTCGAGCAAGCTTCTCATCAAATTAACAGATGCTTGACATTTCTTGCATTCAGCAGGTTTTTCAGATCCCCCTCCGTTCTTAACAGACGACATTTGGAAAATGCCTGATTTTGTTGGACAAATTCCAACATTTGCGCAGAAGGTTTTGCTCATATCCATTTTCTTTAAAACTGAAGCAATTAATGGAACAGCTTCTTTAACAAAATTCTCACAGTTGGCCTTTTTGCTTGCATCGATGCCTGAGCACATGGCTTTATTCATCTTCTTCTTCAACTGGGACTCTGAGAGCTTTGTAACACTTTTCTGATAATTCTTGGCCTGGCTTTTACAGTCTCCACAGTCCCAAGTGTAGTCCAGGTGCATTTTATCTCCAGCTTTACAGAGATCAAACATGCTACAGACCTTAGCTGGTCCTTCATCGCCAGACAGCTTTTCAGTAAGGATAGCAAAGACATCTTCGCTGTAGTGAATATTCAATGCTAGACATGTATTCATCTGCTTTCCAGTAAGAGAATCACAGGCATCCTTCCAGGCGTCAGAGAACTCTTCAGCAGACATACCGCTAACATATGTGTCAGCAAAAGGTTCAATCATTGCTACACATTCTCCACATTTTGTATCAAAAGCAGAAGCTGCTACTGTCAACGAGAGCACTGCAATTAGTATTCTCATCATGAACCCTTGTGTTGGAGTGATGCTTTTAATTTGATATGATGAGAATTTAAATTTTTATCATCCCAAGTGATAATCAATTGATTTGATTATTTATCTCAATTTTGATCTGTAGAAAGCTTGATAAAGCTGGATAAAGGTTAAAAAAAAGAATTATCTAATTTCTAGCACTTTTGATTTAAAATTAGGGGATTTATCAAAAGATTATCTGTTCCACAATCCTCATCATCATATTTAATACAAAATTATGCAAGAAAATTCGATTTTATACAACATGTTCATATACGTTTATTTAATAATCAATAAAGACATTGTTATTATTAATCAGTGTTGGCCCCACCTGGAGTCAAAACTATTCCACTCTTTCTCATCTTATTTTTTCAGATCTGGAGCCTTCACAGGTGTTGATCAATTGATCAATTGACCAATTTGATCAATTTGATCAATTTGATGGATATAACGAGGAATTGTGAAAATGAGTCGAAGGTCCTTACGGAAGAAACAGGTAGTTGATGTTGATGTTGATGTTGATGTTGATGTTGATGTTGATGTTGATGTTGATGTTGATGTTGATGTTGATGTTGATGTTGATGTTGATGTTGATGCTGATGTTGATGTTGATGTTGATGTTGATGTTGATGTTGATGATGTTGATGTTAATAATCAAAATATCTATATTTCAGTATCGACCATTATCTGCGGATTTCACAAAGGAAAAGAATTGGTTTACGAAAAAGCTAATTTTATAAAATAAAAACAATTCTTAATCCAAGTTTGAAAATAAACATAATTCGTTTGAAAAACTTTTTCCTTTGTTTTGATAAACCATTTATCTGAAGGTATCTGAGTCCCTGTCCTCTATGTTTGGGAATGATAATGAAAAAACAGATAAACAAGGAAACGTACTGCTTATTACATGTACGTATATTTAAAGTACTGCTTATTACATGTACGTATATTTAAAGTACTGCACATGTACGTATATTTAAAGTACTGCTTATTACATGTACGTATATTTAAAGTACTGCTTATTACATGTACGTATATTTAAAGTACTGCTTATTACATGTACGTATATTTAAAGTACTGCCTATTACATGTACGTATATTTAACGAACTGCGTATTACATGTACGTATATTTAACGAACTGCTTATTTCATGTACGTTTATTTAACGTACTGCTTATTACATGTACGTATATTTAACGTACTGCTTATTACATGTACGTATATTTTACAATCTCAAGACGTCAGAGCTAAAAAATATTAAAAAGGAACCCTCCACTCAGATTTTCTTTTCTGTCAAGCATTTATATATGTACAAGGTAAAAAAAAAACAGATTATCGATGTTTTAGACAAAATTTCAAACAAAAATTTTGTTTGTATTATAGGAATCAAAAAAGTAAAATGTGACAAAAAAATCCAAAAATATTTTTGGAACATTAAACAAAATCGGTGAATCAAATATTTTTTGAAAAATTGTTGAGAATATGTTTACTCTATTGTTTTTTAAAATTTCATAAAAATTCATTAAAAATTAAATGAGATAACAAAAATACAAAAATCCGCAAAAATGTAGGTTGTAAATTTGCAGTAAATGTTATAAAATAGCCTTAGAACTTTTGTTTCTTCAAAAATGCAAATAATTACCCAACAAAATTTTTAAAATTTTTATTATTTTGAAAATGCGGCAATTTAAATTGTTTCTGCTTCATGGCTTAACAATTTCAAAAATATCTTAAGTGCAATAAGGTTTTAGGTTCTAATTTAAAAGTGAATATTAAACTCAAAAAAATATTTTTTGGAAAAGCTTTAACTAATCCCGACAGGTTGGAATCAGGATTCGGATTCGGATCCTGGACTCATCACCGGACCCGGATCCTGGATTTAACATATAGGATCCTGCCCAAGTAACAAAAATCCCATGTTTTAGATATTTTTTCAGAAAATCCAAGGAACTGATTCTTAAACCAAAATTAATTACAAAATGATTTTAATAAAAAAGGATTATTTTCAAGAAATTCAAAAATTTTAATTTATGCATTAAGTAGCTCATGTTGGTTCTTGCGAACGTAAAGGGTTAAATTCCTAAAACAGTGGGTAATCAGGTAGCATCATAGCACTGATCCCACCCAGGGGGCGGAAACGTCATGGGGGTGTGTCTGTACCAAAAGAGTGTGCGTGTGTAATAAGGATCCAAATAAGTGTACTGTCGGTGTAAAAAATACAGAAGAATATCGGTATTTGTACAATCTAGGAGAGTACATTTGTTTATTGTTAATTGTTTACTTAGAAATAAGTTTAATATACATGTAATATATTATTTATATATTTAAGTCAACACTAAAAGCGAAATTTTCATGTAAAGAAAATAAATGAAAACAAAATATTGCAATCTGTTAGTAAGGTTTGCAGCAAACAAAACGTTTCGCGAAAATTTGCGAAAAAAATGCGAAAATTTTCGTTCGTATTTCGCAAAATTTTCGCGAAAATAAATGAAGCGATAAATGCCTAAACGAAGCAAAATTTCGGGAATATTTTTTTCAAGAAAATTTACGCGAAAAGCTGTTTTTTGTCAAACGTTTATGCATTTTTTCTTATTTCGCGAAAGTTTCGTATTTTTTGCGAAATAGATTGTAGTGAAGTTTCGTCGAAAAAGCGAAAAATTTCGCATTTTTTCGAGCGAACCAAATGCGAAAAAAAGCGAAACGATTTTTCCTTTTCGCTGTAAACCATAGTTAATGCATTTCTAGCAACAAATATCTATTAAAACCTTTTTTTGTGAGACTTAAAATTCTTGAAAAGGAATTACATCTTTGCCAAAACTTTTGCAACCTAATGGTATAAACCTTTAATATTTAAAACTCAAAGTATTTGATCTAAAAGAATTCATAATTTGAAATTTATCTGTACGAAATTTAGTTGCAAAGATATAAGGATAGGAAAATCTGAATTAGGGCAAAGACTAAATTCCTTTGAATTTTTTGAATAAGTACAAATCGTAAACCTAGTCCAAAATTTCGATCTAGTACAGTAATTATAAAATGGACGTAAGACAATCCTAGAAGTCTTAAATCTAATTCCTGTTCTTTATAATATTTAAGTCCTTGATTACCATTTTAATATATCTTTAGACATTAGTATTACTCCAAGGTTTAAATCCATGTGGGAGGAAATTCTGCAAAATTTAGATTAAAACCTGCAAATATTGAATTGAATTCACGTTCAGAATGATTTAAAATGTTTAATTTTATTTTAAAGATATCTTTATGCTTGCAATTTACATGTTTATTTGATGAAATTCATGAAATCCAATGAGTCACAGTCTTGATAAATATATATATCAGTACACTTGTATCAGTATACTTTTATCTGTACACTTGTATCCGTACACTTGTGTCTGTACACTTTTGTCTGTACACTTGTATCTGTACACTTTTATCTGTACCCTTGTATCTGTACACTTGTATCTGTTCACTTGTATCTGTACACTTTTATCTGTACACTTGTATCTGTAAACTTGTGTCTGTACACTTGTATCAGTACACTTGTATCTGTACACTTGTATCTGTACACTTTTATCTGTACACTTGTATCTGTATACTTGTATCTCTGCACTTGTATCTGTACACTTGTATCTCTACATTTGTATCTGTATACTTGTAACTGTACACTTGTATCTGTACACTTGTATCTGTATACTTGTATCTCTGCACTTGTATCTGTACACTTGTATCTCTACATTTGTATCTGTATACTTGTAACTGTACACTTTTATCTGTACACTTGTATCGGTACACTTGTATCAGTACACTTGTATCTGTATACTTGTATCTCTGCACTTGTATCTGTACAATTGTATCTCTACATTTGTATCTGTATACTTGTAACTGTGCACTTGTATCTGTATACTTGTAACTGTACACTTGTATCTGTACATTTGTATCGGTACACTTGTATCAGTACACTTGTAACTGTACACTTGTAACTGTACACTTGTATCTGTACCCTTGTATCTTTACACTTGTATCAGTACACTTGTAACTGTACACTTGTATCTGTATACTTGTACCTGTACACTTGTATCTGTACATTTGTATCGGTACACTTGTATCAGTACACTTGTAACTGTACACTTGTAACTGTACACTTGTATCTGTACCCTTGTATCTGTACACTTGTATCAGTACACTTGTATCTGTGCACTTGTATCGGTACACTTGTATCTGTACACTTATATCTGTATACTTGTATCTCTGCACTTGTATCTGTACACTTGTATCTGTACACTTGTATCTCTACATTTGTATCTGTATACTTGTAACTGTACACTTGTATCTGTATACTTGTAACCAGTACACTTGTATCTGTACATTTGTATCGGTACACTTGTATCTGTACACTTGTATCAGTATACTTGTATAAGAACATGACAATATAAAACTATGCTAAGCTTTTAATCGAAGCTCCCTGAAAGGTCAAATACAAAGCATAAAAATGTTCTTTCCAACTGCCTCTATCTTTAAAAATATATTTTTTTAATGAAATAAATGAAATTTATGAGGAACTAATTCTGGAGTTTCAGTTTTGCATGCTAAGTTGCATAATGCATGATTTTAAGCAAAGTAATGCTTGAAAGCAACCAGGCATATCTGAGGGAAGTTTTATGGTTTGAGAAGTACATATTTCGGCTTTGATTTATTCATTATTTATCATGAAAATTCGAAATTTCAATTCACACCTAAAACTCTTTTAAAGTAGAAAGAAGAAAATATTGTAATTATCTAAAAAAATCATACATTGTCACTTCAATACATGCAATGATGCAGGAACCACATTATTTTTAGTTTTAAACATTAGAATAACTCATTCATCCTTAATCAGACAAAGGTCTAGTGAATGGAATTTGTCATTTTATCCTGGAGGGCCATTTGAACCAGTCCCTTCAGTTTTATTTAAAGTTTTTATAAAACACGCCCTTTTAATCTTATTGTTATTAATAATCATATTTTTATCATATTTATTATTGTTTAGATAAAAGGTCAGTGACTGAAATTGATAGTTCTCCATTAAACTCTCCGCCATCTTTCTTAAGAACATTCTCACAACCAGGTATGTACCGACCCCTCCAAGAAAATATCTACCCCCGCACGACTGCCTACTAAGAACAAATTCCCTAAAATGGCCCCCCCCTTTCCATAAAATTTTTTTTAAAAACTTCCCAAAAAGATCAACACCCCAGTCCAACTAAGAAAATTTCCCTGTAATTTTCTTTTTCTCTTCATTTTAAGGAGATGTGAAATCAAAATTACTTTTTCATGAACTTTTATTGTAAAAATTTGCAATAATTAACTTAAAAACAAATATTTTCTTGCTAAAAATCGCAACAATTTGTTTTTTGAATAGAAGCATTTTATTATTTAACTCACTCTGCTCTTTCCTTTTCCATTTATGAAACCGCCTTATATCTACTTTTCCTCTTGGAAAAATATTGGTTTTTAGAAGCCAAGTGAGATTTTTTATATTTATTTACTTTCCAACTATTTTGGTTACAGGTATGACAAGAAAGGACTCTCTAATCACAGAACAGATTCAGGAGGATCAAGAGAATCAGGAGAACCAGGAGAATCAAGAAGTTCTCGAGGTTCAGACAGTTAAGGAGGTTCAGGAGATGGAGACGGAGACCAACCTAAATCTCTCCCTGGGAACAGAGAAAGCTGAGGATCTCCAGGTGTACCCGGAGCTGAATGGAGGACGAAGACGAACTTCCCAATCCTTATCCTCTGGAGAGTCCTGGGGTAGTGAGGAAGGACGAACGTACCAAAATGCACGAGACAAAGACGATTCATCATGTGATGATATTGAGGTTAAAGGAGACAATAATAGTCCAAGTACAATTTGGGAGTTTACAGATTCACATTTCCAACCAGAGAAAGAAGCTTGGAATAGTACACAGTGCTGGAATAAGGACGTCAATTGGGAGAACATAGATCGATCCTTCGGCAAAGACCCATCTTTTGAAGTGAAAGACGAGGTTGGTTGGGTTCCAGTTCATAATGTAGGCTGGGAGAACCAGTTTATTCAAGCAGTTCCTTCTGTGCCCTTAGCTAGTGAAGACTCAGACTTGGGAGAGTCAGCTGACTTTGAGTCTTTCAGGTCAGTTTAAAGTCGTTTAGGTCAGATAAACGTCTTTTTGGTCAGTTTAAAGTCTTTTAAGTCAATTTAAAGTCTTTTAGGTCAGTTGAAAATCCTTTAGGTCAGCTTAAAGTATGTTAGGTCAGTTTAAAGTCTTTTAGGTCAGTTAAAAATCTTTTAGGTCAGCTTAAAATATGTTAGGTCAGTTTAAAGTCTTTTAGGTCATTTTGAAATACTTTAGGTCAGCTTAAAGTATTTTAGGTCAGTTAAAAATTCTTTTAGGTCAGCTGAAAGGATGTTGGGCCAGTTTCAAGTCTTTTAGGTCAGTTTTTAATCCTTTAGGTCAGCTTAAAGTATGTTAGGTCAGTTTAAAGTATTTTTTATCAGTTTAAAGTCTTTTAGGTCAGTTTAGATTATTCTTGGTCAGTCTAGAGTCTTTAAGATAAGTTTTAAGTCTTTTAGGTCAATTTAATATTCTTTGGGTCAGTTTTAAGTCTCTTAGGTCAGTGTAAAGTCTTTGGGTCAGTTTAAAGTCTTTTAGGTCAGCTTAAAGTATGTTAGGTCAGTTTAAAGTCTTTTAGGTCAGTTTAAAATCCTTTAGGTCAGCTTAAAGTATGTTAGGTCAGTTTAAAGTCCTTAAGGTCAGTTTAAAATTCTTTAAGTCAACTTAAAGTATGTTAGGTCAGTTTAAAGTCTTTTAGGTCAGTTTAGATTATTCTTGGTCAGTTTAGAGTCTTTAAGGTAAGTTTTAAGTCTTATAGGTCAATTTAATGTTCTTTGGCTCAGTTTAAAGTCTCTTAGGTCAGTCTAAAGTCTTTTGGGTCAGTTTAAAGTCTTTTATGTCAGCTTAACGTCTTTTATGTCAGTTTTAAGTCTTTAAGGTCAATGTAAAAATCATTTAAGAGAGTTGAAAGTTGTGTAGGCCTGTTAGATAAGAAGAGAGAATATTAATCAAAGGAACTGAATACTCGCCTCATACTAATTACTTTAAAGAACAATTAATAATGTTGATTATTTTAGTAGCGAAGATGATGATTATGATGATTATTTTAGTAGCGACGATGATGAAGATAATGATTATTTAAGTAGCGAAGATGATGATAATGATGATTATTTTAGTAGCGAAGATGATGAAGATAATGAGGCAAAACATAATTTGACTCCAACAACTGATTCAAAGTAAGTAAATGAATGATTTGAAAAGGACAGAAAACTTCAATTTTCTAACCCCCTATATCTTTGTTACCTCATTGTGTAAACTTATTAGATTTCAAACTCATATTATATAATTCATTGCTTGAAATATCAATACATTGGGTTGCATAGATATAAATATTAAAAAATCAGTGTTTGTGGCAGAAACACAGTTCCTTTATATTAATTTCTTTTCTTTTTGTACTTTTTCACCTTTTCTACCTTTTCTAATTATCTTGAGTGATGTTAACCTAGCTTTGTTCTCATTCTCCTTTTGTATTTATATTTTACAATTTAAAGGGATAGACCGGCTATGAAAGACAGTTGAATAGAGTTTGCACTGTTGTGGACAAATCTTTAGAATTCATTTGAGACATATAAAGATCTGTAAATCCTGAGTTTGAGCGACGTTCAAAATCGTACTTTTGGGTGGATACGTTTTAAGAATTGGTTTTTTTAAATATTAAACTCAGGATTTATAGATCTTTAAAAAGTTTAATATGTCTCAAATGAATCCTAAATAATTTGTCCACAACACTGCATACTCAGTTCAACTATCTTACATAGCCGGTCACTCCCTTTAACCTTTGTTCTCATTCTCCTTTTGTATTTATATTTTATAATTTAATAAGTTAGATCTTTGCAATCAGTAAGTATCTTTGGGTCGGTAAGTATCTAGGGGTCAGTAAGTACCTAGGGGACGGTAAGTATCTAGGGGTCAGTAAGTGTCTAGAGGTCAGTGAGTGTCTAGGTGGTCAGTGAGTGTCTAGGTGGTCAGTAAGTGTCTAGGGGTCAGTAAGTATCTGGGGGTCTGTAAGTATCTTGGGGTCAGTAAGTGTCTAGGGGTCAGTGAGTGTCTGGGGGTCAGTGTATTGGACTTAATCAAAATATTTTTCTTTATTAACTACGCAATAATATGTTTATATATATATATATATATATATATATATAACTGTAGACTTATTTTCGTATTTAAACCATTAAGATTTATTCCATAGACAAAGTGGATTAAAGATGTATCAAAATCTATAAAAAATCAAAATATCAGTTTAGGCTATAACATATTGATCCAAAGGTTGAACAAATCTTAAACAACTTTTTCAATTACTTCTTAATAATTGAAGCTAAAATCACATTCTTGACAGGTTAAAATTGAAAATATCCAGTGTCCGAATTTAATGAATTTGAGCCGCATCTTAAATCCGCCAAAACCCGGTTACAATTGAGCGCCGGCTTAAATCTTGAAACATTGAATACAATTTTAAGTGAAACCAACAATATTTGAGCGGCGGCTTAAATTCTTTAAATCCGGCCTCTGAACTACAAAAAAGTATAAGTGAGTTAGCAAGATAAAATCAAAGCCCAAGGTGTTGCAGCACTTAAAAGTCGACCCAGTCTTACAAATTGATGCAACTTTCAGAGCAGTTTGGAATTATGTGAATTTAGATATATTTCAGTTTTTAACTTCACATTTTTTATTAAAAAAGAATTACACTAAACATAATGTTTCACGTCTATCATGACGATCCTCAGTAGTTACAATTCTTTGAACAACTCAAAAAACTAATTCTGAAAACGTATCCACCCCCAAAGAAGGAGTTTTGAACGTCGAATTTGCGCTCAAACTCAGGATTTACAGATCTTTAAAAAGTTTAATATGTCTCAAATGAATCCGAAAGACGTTTTCCACAACACAGTTCAACCACCTTACATAGCGGGTCACTCCCTTTAAAATAGGATTTTTCAACTCGCTACTCTCGACTAATTCAAGGATTGTGAGTGCTACTGGCTGTTAGAATCTATTTATATATTTAGATTATCCCTAAACCCCTGTGCTTTCTTGTGCTTTTGCTATAAAATATATGTTTTTCTTCCGTAATACTTGTTGTTTCAAAGACGACATCTAAATATATTGCGGGATTACAATTCATACAATCTTTGCAAATAAACAGATTAGCCGAATATATTCATTTAGTCCATTCTCAACATGAAACACATTTTAAGTGGAGTATTGTGACAAAAACAGTCTCCCCCCCATGACCCCTTAAAACAGTCTCCCCCCCCCATGACCCCTTAAAACACACCATGGCACATTTAATAGATAAAAAAATCTGTGTTTTATTTAGTCTATGTTCAAATCTATTTTTCTTGTAATTCTAACTGATACTGATTTATAAAGATAGAAGGTATTTTTCCAGACTTTAAATCCTTTCCACATATTTTGATGGAGAATTAACATAACTAAATATTTTACTAAATCTACAATAATATTCTTTTAAAGGATTACAAATTTATTTTACAAATCAATGACGACAATCTATATCTCATTATTATAAAAAGGAATGATGCACATTTAACAAAGGGAAATTATTTCTAGAAATAAAATCTGTAATTTTCTAATCCCCATACCTTTGTGACCTTTCAATGTTTCAAACTTAGACTAACAGAACTCGTGGTTTGAAATATCCACGGCCAATGAAATCTGGTTTTAAAGATATAGAGAGAATAATATTAAAGTTTACTGCGAGAGTTTAATTCCTAATCATCTTTTTTGGGGTGCATTGTTATGTTTATCTGTTAGATCCCAAAATCTAAGTTTTAAATATCAAAGGATTTCACCATCAGATTGCACTGATATTGGTATTAGAATGTTGAGTTTGTGTCAAAGACTCAATTCCTTTATTCGGCTACATTATAAAATTTCAATAAGAGGATGTATGATCAATAAAAAAGTTTTTTGATTTTTCCCATTCATGAAAACACCCCTGGAAAGCTGACACTGCATTTTTAAATACTATTAAGCAAATATTAAATTTCACACATTTTAGAAAAATTTTATAAATCATTAACGTCAGTTGGAAATAGTTACTTCTTTTCGACGCTTGTCGTTTCAAGATAGGTTATTGCAAAAGTATATATTTTCAGAATTTTTATAAACTTTGTTGTAAGGGGGGTGAGGGGGGAAAGCCTTCAGGGGGGGTTTAACTGATGAAACCCTAACATTGTCTTTGGAATAGCTTTCTTATTAAGAGAGAAGTGGTTCAGCTTAGTCTACAGAGCTAAACGACGTTATGTTATTCATGAATTTTGGTCTCAGTGAGAAAAAGGGAATTCAGTATTTGCCACAAACTCAAATTCTCTAATTCCTATATGTTTGCAACCCAATGTTGTAAACCTACTTTTAGCTCAACTAGTCTCAAGTTTCAAATATCAAAGGTTTACACCTTCAGGTTGCACAGATATAGGGATAAGAAAATTTGAGTTTTTTGCAAGAACTCGTGTTTACTTTAGACATTATTGTCAAATTCATGAACTGAACAAAATCTGTTCAGTTGTGCGTCTCGTTCAGAAAAAGAAAAAGAAAAACTAAATTATTTTTATATGATATTATATAAAATTAATAAATAAATATACAATTATGTGTTCTTGAGAAAAATAAATATTTGTTTTGATTAAATACTACAAAACGTGCACAGTGCACACATACTGAAAATGAAAATTCCTAGGGCTCTTTCATTCATTGATTCGTTTAAGGAAGTGTTCGTGAAAACTTAATGGATCTGAGTTTTTGCCACAAACTCAAATTGTCTGATCCCAATATCTTTGCGACGTGATGGCGTAAACCTTTGATATTTTAAACTTGGGCCTTTTGATTTAACAGAATTCATAGTTTGAAATATAAGGGGTTAAAAGATTAGAGATTAGAGTTCCTTTTATGTTTTAGGACCTTCAATATTTTTAGTGCTTTATTTCTAACTGATGTTTCCATTAAAGGAATAAAATATAACCCGTATAAAAAAATCTTGTTGCCTTAAAAAGAATAGTGATTTTTTGTATCATTTTTTTAAGAAATGACTGAACTAGGGTCTCCAAAGTGTAAACATAATATCAAGTGACTCTCCATTTATAGAGTGGAAAGTTCAATTCACAAGGGTACCATTAAAAACTTTGTCTAATCAAGTATGAATTATATATCTATGATCATAATTTTGAAAACTGATAATTTTTAATTGCTGGTTCTCTACAAAAGTGACATGCGAATTTCTACTGCAAGAAAACGATGAAGGATTAACAAAAATAAGCATCGCGCAAGCCAGAAAAAAAAACAGCGTTGATCAGATAAACTGTAAAGGTTTAATAGGAACCGTTGTGAATCAAGCATGACCTTTCTTCAATAAATGGAGGTTCATTTTGAAAGTTTTAAAGTTTTTTTTCTTTTAAGTTCTCTTCAAAGGCTTTTTTAATTTAAAAATATTTCTATGCTTAGTGAAAAATGTTGTGATCCGAACAGCATAGCTTTTAGCTAAGTGTGATTTTTTTAAATAGTAACTTTGCTTTTGTAATAATGCTTTAAAGCTTATGCATTTCGAACATCCCTGTGTTTAAATGAAACCAGCTGTGCTGGGTGTGGTTCTTAAACATCCTTCAAAGCCACGGTTGAATATTCTTCTTGAAAACATTTTTTAAAAATTTTTTTCTTAATCTTTGCAATTTTTGAATATTTTGTTTATACTTTGGAAGCATATTGACCCCCTGTTGTATGACTAATGTAAATCTAAACATTCCCATATTTGACAAAATTCAATTCTAAAGAATTAAACCGTAAGGGAATCAGGTTTGCTGCACTTATTGCAAAGTTGATTAAAGGGACTGTTAGCATGATTTCAACATCCATGAAAAGATGGCAGTGTCCGATTCACAACGGTATCTTGTGAGGTTTTTCTAATCAAGTATAAATTATATATATATATATATATATATATATATGTGTGATTTTGTTTCATCAAACTGGTTTTTTTTTCACTTGCGGTTTTTTTGCGAAAGTGACTTGCGCATTTCTTGTTTCCAATAATCAAGAAATAAACACTAATCGAGTTAAAAAAACGTCGGTATCTTCCACATTTTCAATCAGATTAAGGTTTCAAGGGTACCATTGTAAATCAGGCATCTTTACTGCACGGTGGGTCACTTAAAATTGCGCTTTCAGTACCTTTAACGCGCGGAACAAATTTTAGACATTTAGAATTATATGTACAAATAGATATTCAATTTGGATCATGAAAGATGTCAGTGACGATATTTTCTTTAGGTTACTGGTCTTACTCAAACTATTTACACCTAAAATAGTCAAATTTAATGTAGCAAGGAAATTTATTTAGATTTACAATTGGTTTACATGAGAGGAAGATAGATAGATAGATAGATAGATAGATAGATAGATAGAGAGAAGAGCAGAATGAGAGAAAAATAAAGGTTTCCGTCAGTTGGTTTTCAGCCTCTTAACTACATGCACACTTTTACTAATAATAATATTTTTAAAATAATGATAACTATTCGGGCTTTGACATCTGTGCATGAATTTTCATTTGAAATTAACTTTACTTAATTAACTTAACAGTAAAAAAAGATCATTAAAAAATATGCATTACACATTTTATAGTAATAACTTAACGATTATGATGTTTATAAAACTGATAATTAAAAAAAAATAACAATAAAAATGGGCCTAATAATATTCATAAAACGATCTTATGCGGATTTTAAGAAATAATAGTAACAATTTTTGTTACACTTTTTCAAAATACATTAAAAATTTAAATTATTAGAAAGCATTTTTAAAATAAAATCATAAAGATGATGTCATTTTCATATGTTTATAATAGATTCCATTTATTATTATTAGAAAAAAAAGTTGTAATAAAATATTAATAATTCAGAAGATAATAATTATATTATTCATAATAAAACTTAACTTCTACATTAATTATATTGAAATAAAAAGAACTTAAACATTTTTCAATGAAGAAATTAATAATAAGAAACTTAATATACAGATATTTAAAAAATGTGTTAAATCAAGAGAAACTAAACATTAAAAGAAAATGATGGATAGTGCATTTATTTTAGTGTTCAGGTAGAACCACATATTGATTTAAGATTTGAACTTTGCTTGCGTGACATCAGAGTTAAGCTGATTGTTCTAGGATTTGCAATCGGCACATTTTTACTAATTTTGCTTATCCGTTTTTATTCTAGTATTAAGCAGTGATATTTTTTTCCTTCTGAAATTCGTAAGAAATTTTTACCTATTGAAACATTTTAATTTCTGATGAAATTTAACTTTAAGATGGGTTTGATCTAAAAGGAATTGATTATTTGCCACAAACTGTGATTTTCTAATCTCTTATCTTCGCGACCCGATATCGTAGATTCTAATATTTCAAAATGTAAATTGTGATAGATTAAGTTACTAAAGTTTTCCGCGTTCTTATTGCAAAGATATAAGGATGCGAAATTTTGAGTTTGTGGCAACTCAACTCTTAAAGATCTTGAAACTGACGGGAGTGTTGTCTAATTAAAGTTTTTTATTTGAAACGCATTTGATGACAAAAAGAACAAAAAAACTGAAAAAAATATGTTTAATTGTGTCATAATTTGCTATGATAAGCGTGCCCCCTCATCAGTATTTTTGTTTTTAACATTACTAATTCCCTGATTTTGGAACCTTTTTATATAAATTTTATTCTTTTTATAAATCTTTAAGAACAGATTAAGTGTTCAGTCTTCCTATGCCCCCCCCCCCTCTTTAGCCTCAAATTCACTTTGATTTGAAAAATGTTTATAAAATTTTAAACTTATGTTATTTCAATATTGGAAAGTGAAGAACTATACGGCTTCAATAAATGCCAGTAAAGCCTTATTTTGTAAAAGGATTTAAATTTTCTTAAAATAAAATTAATTGATAACAGTTCATGATAAATCAATATTTTTATTCAAAGTATTAAATTACAGAATATAAAATATTTACGATATGTTTATTCAAGTATAATATTATTGAAATATTCAAAAAGAACTTTTCAATGCGTTATTAACTTGAATTATATAATCGTTTTCTTTATCTTTTTTATGACAACCCACACACAGATTAACCTAACTTCCCAAATAATTATATACATATCTACGTATACCTACCTACCTACCTACCTACCTACCTACCTACCTACCTACCTACCCTCCTAACCATCTAACTATCTACTTATCTAGGGAGGACTATGTCGGACTGGGATTTACAAGATCGCTCAGGGATCGCTTCCATACTAAAGCAAGCTGGATCAGACGATCTTCGGAGAGAGATATTAAGGTTGGTTGTTTTAATCATTTCTCCAAATGTAAATTTATCACTTCCATTTATTTATTTTTTAAATGCATAATTTATTCTATTGTTCATCTATTGATCTTAAACCATGTAAAGGACTGTAAGGGGAGGGCCTTAATATGTCAACAATAAGAGTGCTTGTTAAAAAAGAAAAAGAAGAGAGCCGGAGCTCTTTCCTTTTTTTGTTTTAAAAGAACGTTTGGTAAAATCCTTTTACATATTTTCGCCTGAAAAGTAAACATGCTAATTCTTTGTTTAAAGAATAGAAAATAAAAGACCTTATTCTAGAATTCTATTTTTGTATTGAAAGATTGCAAAGCCTCATTATTCTGATGAGGTCACTTCCTCCCTTCGGACTTTTAGACTCCATTAAATTTCGAGGCCAAGGGCTTAAATTTAAGAACAGATTTATACAAATCTAAAGAATTTAGAGCTTTAAATAAATGTATGACATCGCAGTTTTCAGAATTAATATACGTTTTGATATTAAAATTTTATTAATTGAAATTTGAAAATTTAATAAGTGGAGCCGTCGGAAATTGTCAAATTACTGTATTTATAGTTCAGAGAAACTGACATCAAGTGCTTTTTGTTCAAGCATCATATTCATGGAGTTAAATAAGCATTTAGTACTTATTTTTATTAAATCCTACGAACAAAGTGAGATCATAAAAAACTGAATTTAAATTTGCTAGACATGGTACAGTTAAACCCCAAATGAGATACATCGAAAGAATTTATCAAATTTCGTCTTGGCAATTTTTCAATGTGTTTTATACTATATTACGTAAATCTCAGTATTTGCGAAAATAAATAGCCATGAATATGCGGGAACAATTTTAAAGAGTTCCATATTATCATTTAATTAGAAAACTAAATATCTGCAACATTCCATTATCCGAAAGTGAAGAATACGACATTTGATTGATTCCTTCGGTGTATGGCTTATTTAGGGTTTAACTGTAGTTGAGCTGAAAGTGCAGTATTGAGGATGATTGCGTTCTTAATTAGCAATTATACACCGTGCAGTTGTCTTATATAGGTCTCAAATGTATTTACAATACTGCACTCTCTTAGCTCAACTACTATGTCTAGCCAGACACTCCCTTTAAAAACTTTGTACTTTCAGTTAAGCCGTGATTCTTCCCCCTCTGAGATATCTGAATCGAAGGTTCTGGCAGAATCTAAACTATCCCGGCTGTTCTCTCTGCGCCGGTCAATCGGACCCACCAGCCTAGATAGAACAGATTCACAGATGCCCAGGTAGACAGTTAGATAGATAGATATTGGGGTTCAGGACACACTTTCCTAGTTCTTTTGCCGCTCTTCCCCACCCTTGGCGAATCACTTTTGTAGAGATTAAAATTAAAAATTAAAATTAAAAATTAAAATTAATCAGATGTCCAAATTATAAACATCGATATCCAATTCATACTTGATCTGACAAAGCTTTTAAGGGTACCGTTGTGAATAGACTATTGCCATCACTGTAATGAGGGTTACTTCAAATTACTCTTAACAAACTCCAGTTTTCCAATTTCTTAATCTCTGCAACTTGATAATGGAAGGAAATCTTTTATGAATCAAACTCAGATATAACATTGAAAAATCAAGGATCTACGACTTCAGGTTGCGAAGTTTTAGTCTATTTGAGTGTTTGAGGAGAGTAATTCTATAACCAAAAGATTAAAGTTTAAAAAATTATTTTATTTTTAGACTTACAGAGGAGGAGGAGTTGCATCTTTCCCACAGCTCCCTTGACACCCCTCAACCCCTCCCTTCACTAGAGGAGACCCTCCCCTCCCTCCCTCTCCCCCTTCACTTCAAGAGCCGGGGAGTAAAGAGAAGATGTATCATCAACTCCCTCGTGGAGTCGGAGAACAGCTACATTGCCTCCCTCACCAAGCTGGCGGTAGAGTACAAGGTAGATATTTTCTTCAAATATTTTCCCCGCCATATCAAGAACTAGTATTGAAACCCAGCTTTGTCTAGAATTTAAAACTGTCTCTAAATTATTTAAATTAGACATTTAAACCAAACTTAGAACATTCTCTTCGTTCTAACGAGTTATTCACCCAAAATATTAGCCAAATCAGTCCAGGGGTTTCTAAGTTATGATCGGAAATAAAAACAAACAAACGGAGATTACTACTTTATGTATATAGATGAAAAGTATCAATAAGAAGGAATTGGTGTCCGATTTTTTATTTCTCTTACTTCAAAAATCATTTTAAATAATTTTGAACAATCCAGTGCCTCAAGAGCCAAGCTAAATGATTATCTATTTAGGTTCTAAGCTAGTTTCTTATTATTTAATTGATAAAAAGTTCTTGTTAAGTTCCAAATGCTACTTTTGGCTAGACTGGGGGCCCAAATACTGTCAAACTTGATGGTGGGGGGGGGGGGGCATAGATGAATAAATAAACATAGATAGCTTATGTACGCAAAATTACCAAAAATTGTACAGTCCGCGAAATCATTCTTCTAGGGGTCAAAGTGTACTTCAATGATAAGCGGGGTGGTTTTGTGTTTTAATGGATTTCATAATTATTAAACCACTCAGTTGTGAATTTTATTTCACTGAGCAATATATAATATTGAGGAGAACTGAAGAAGGACATGAGAAGGACTGAACTAACTTAAATTTCTGTCTACAGAACTCATGTACTCAAGTATTCAATGACATAAGAACAGCTAATGTTCACAACCGACCTAGTTAATCTATATAATAGGAATATCTTTCAATATGAAAGATGTCGTCTTATGCGCAATCTATCTTTATCTATGGGGGGGGGGGGGTGACAATGGTTTTGAAAATAACCAAATATGATTATAAGACAAAGGTGATTTACAATCTAAATTAATTAGGTATATCTGGAATCTGCCTCCCCACCCATTCTTAGTGAAACAAAGATTGAAACATTGTTTTTCAGGTGACAAACATTTTATTAACATTTTATTTTTTTTCTTAAAATTGTTTTGTTAAGGAGTCGAAGAGGAATTGAGTATTTGCCACAAACTCTGATTTTCTAATTTAAGCAACTTTGCAAGACAATGTCTATGAATTCTGTTATATCAGGTTGAATTATTTCACCGCCAGGTTTCAAAGCTTAAAAAAATAAGTTTGTTGCAAAGACTCAAATTCTTTATATAAAAGGGACTGTTTTCAAGGTATCCTCCAAGTGACTCAATAAAGGGTCACCTGAAACTACGTTCTTGGTTCCTTTAATTCCTTGGTTTATGATTTTTCAGACATTATATTGGCTTTAAATGATATATATATATATGATGATTTTTAATTTACATAATTCATAAAAAAACAGCATTATTATATTATTTACAGGATTCCTGAAATACTGGCTTGCCATCTTTACTTTAAAGAGAGCCTCAGATCTGCCCTTCAAAACTGGGAACAGGTAAATAGATAGATAGATTCAGAGATAGATACTGAGATATATACAGATACACAGATGCACAGATAGATACTGAGATATATACAGATACACAGATACACAGATGCACAGATAGATACAGAGATAGATACAGAGACACATACAGAGAAAGATACAGAGATAGATACTGAGATATATACAGATACACAAATGCACAGATAGATACAGAGACAGATACAGAGATAGATACTGAGCTAGATACAGATACACAGATAGATATAGAGATACATGGATACATAGATTTTTAAACGACTGTATATTCTAGAATGAAATGATCGGGGAAGTTTTTGTTTCCAATTTCTCAAGTCGACGTGTATTGGAGACCTATGCAGATTATATCAACAACTTCAACTCTGCTATGGAGGTGGCCAAGGCAGAGTCAAAGAGAAAATCTGCTTTCGCGGATTTTCTTAAAGTGAAACAGCTGCAGAGTGCTGATAGGTTAGCGCCATTTTATAGTTTTGTTTTACAACTAAATTTTTAACTAGGTATGTTAAAACTTTTTTCTTTAAAAAATTGCTACTGAAGGAAAATAAAATATTCAATGTTTAGATTAATTACAGAAAAATGTTTAAAAAGCAACTAATTTGTTTAATGGATAATTTCGGCGAATAATTATGAATAACACTTATTATTTGGACAAATTTAATAATAATAGAATCAAAATACTGGATACTACCTGTAAAGAATTCGAGACTAAACCAGTTAAACTAAAATAAACTTTGAAGAAGAAAAGGATTACTAAGAATATTTTAAAATACTAAAACATTATTGAATTGTATTAGGCTAAAATAGAGAAAGAGTATATTCTATACAGAAGAGACTAAAATAAACTAGACTAGAATAGACTATAATAGACTATAATAGACTAGAATAGACTAGAATAGACTAGAATAGACTAAAATAGACTAAAATAGACTAAAATAGACTAGAATAAACTAGAATAAGCTAGAATAAGCTAGCAAAAAATCTAGAACAAACTGGAGCAAACTAGAGCAAACTAGAATAAACTAGAATAAACTAGAATAAACTAGAATAAACTAGAATAAACTAGAATAAGCTAGAATAAGCTAGAATAAATTAGAACAAGCTAGATTAAGCTAGAATAAACTAGAATAAACTAAAATAAACCAGAATAGACTAGAGAAAACTAGAATAAACTAGAATAAACTAGAATAAACTAGAATAAACTAGAATAAGCTAGAATAAGCTAGAATAAGCTAGAATAAGCTAGAATAAGCTAGAATAAGCTAGAATAAACTAAAATAAACGGGAATAAACTAGAATCAACTAGAATAAGCTAGAATAATCTAGAATAAACTAGAATAAACTAGAATAAACTAGAATAAACTAGAATCAACTAGAATATACTAGATAAAGATAGAATAAACTAGAATAAACTAGATTAAACTAGAATAAACTAGAAAAAACTAGAATAAACTAGAATAAACTAGATTAAACTAGAATAAGCTAGAATAAGCTAGAATAAATTGGAATAAACTAGAGTAAGCTAGAATAGAACTGAAGGACACCATATCCTGAGATCCAATTCATTCCAATTGAAATTGATATTCAAGGATCAAAGCAACCCCCCCCTTTTCTTCTCATTCCCCTCCTCCTTCTATTTTTTATATTAAGTTGTAACAAACGGTCTTATGCTTTTTTCTTTTCGTTTTTTTTTAATTATTTTTACTTATTTTGTAGAAATGATAAAAAATAACAAGTAAATCATATTGTTTGGATCATTTTCACAATTTATTATTTTTTTTAATTAATAAAGGAACTTTTATGATAATTTCAAATTAAAATGAAAAATGAACATTATAATAAAAGGGTAACTGAATTCTTGTCATAAATTCTGATTTTGTAATCCTAAAATCTTTGCAACCCAATGTGGTAGACCTATGATATTAAAAACTATGAAATTTCATAGGTCAAATGGTCTACTTTGAAATATCAAAGGATTTGATTTGATTTAAAAATATATAAAGATGGATTAAAAATTTGAGTTTGATGCAAGAAATCTTTTTAAAAAATAATAATAATACTGTTTAGAATAATTATTTAATAATAATGATTATAATAATAATAATGATAAAAAATAATTAATGATAATTAGGATGGGTATACTGTAAGAATTAAATGATACGTTTAAATTAAAAATTATATTTAGGATGAGTACACTAGAATTAAATGTAAATGAAAAATGATAATTAGGATGAGTATACTAGAATAAAATGATAAATGCAAATGAAAAATGATATTTAGGATGGGTATACTAGAATTAAATGTTAAATGTAAATGAAAAATGATATTTAGGATGGGTATACAACAAGCTTTAACTACCCTCGAGTGCTTAACTGGGATGCTTAATGAACGAAAAAGGTAAAAAATCAATAAAATATTTTTATTTTGTTTTTTGAAAAATCGTATTTTCAATGTGTTTTCTAAAAAGTGTATGTTATTATTTCGCAAAGAGATAGATAGAAATCCACCAAGAAAGGACTGCGTTCTTTCCTCTTTTTGTAGCATTATCCATTATTATTGCAAATTATTAGTTTTGCAAATGTTTAGTTTTAAAAAAGTACTGGCCGATTTTCAATTTTTTTTGATGCATTTAACGAAATGAAAAAATACACTTTTTCAAAAACACCCTGGTCTTGAATATTAAAGGTTTGTCATATATTATGGTATTTACATTAAAATTTAAGGTAATTTAGCTGTAAAAGGTATTTCTATGAATTCTCGTATTTATTTAATAAATGTTTTTAAAATTGTCGAAGGTTTAAGTGAAACTCTCAAGAATTTAAAACAAGAGGGAAACTAGTAAATTCTAATTGAGAAAAATGACATTGCGTAATTTTTAGGATCTCAGAACAGAGCGCAGCATTTAAAACAAATATGCGCAGTATTGGCAGTAAACTAGGGCGGAGTGAGGTGGAAAGGGTTCTAATAAGAGGAGATGAAGTAAGGAACTATATAAATTTGAAATTTTCTAAAAAAAATTCTGCTTACGTTATACAAGAGACATTTCTGGTGTTTTTCATAATTCTATGTCAAAATATCCAGTACGGTCTCAATCTAAATTTAATCCAGAAATTGAAGTCTCCAGTTGGAATAATAAAGGGCAAAACTTTTGAATTATGCACGAAGAAACCGTAATTAAAAGAAGTTTTGTTATATTTTTTATTTGAATAATTGTCTAGGTACGTCTACTAGAGTTTAACCATCATGGGCAAATCTGCAGGGTTAAACAGAGAAAACTTCTTCTTCTAAATGATTCGGTAAGCTGCGTATTATGTAACATTGAATCACTTCAAAAAAAGTTAAATTTTATTTGGAGTTATTGGTATGACTTTGTGAATTTGTTTGATTTAACGCCTAAACTTGAGAAAAAGGAACTAAACACTCTTTGCAAACTTATAATTCTAATCTGTGCAACCTGAAGTTAAAGACTGCTCTAACAATGAGATGACGATGGTTTAAATGTAGGTTTTAGAGTAAATTCACTCTTGATCATATTAAGTTTTAAAGGTTGTGAATCAGACATGCCGCTGTAAAAATAATTGTCTACTTGAAATTACGTCTACACTCCACAGTCCCAGATAAATAAAATAAAAACTAATATGACTAAGATGAACGTGTGCAGGTTGTTTGTGTATCTGTATCTGGAAGACCAAGTGAGGTGGAGTTTATAAGTCCTGGATCCCAAGAAAGAATGAACCTCAAGTGGTCTGTAGCCTACAATGACATCGAAATAGTTGACGGTAAATATCTATCTATCATAACCTAAATTAATCGGGAAAAGTTCCATAAAGAGAGGTTGTAATTTTCAAAAGTGGATTCAGAAAACTAGGATAGGATTGATCCAAAAGATGTTCTTTTTTAAATCACATACACAAGAACGCCACGAAAATTAAAATAACATTTATTTTTTTCAAATATCAAAATTAAATTGTTTTAGGACCAGCGCAAGGAACACTGGCACGATTGACCGCTGGGGGATCGGTTGCCGCGAAACGATCATCACTTGGACGAACAGCTAATCCAGTCACCATGTTTAATGGGTGAGTAATTTCAACATTTGTATTTGCTCACATCACTTTAAATTCCACTTTATGTAAAACTACATCGTATGATTATGTTTATAGGTTTAATTTAAATTATGTAAACATTTATTTTTTTTTCAAATGTTTTTAACTTGCAGAAATGAGAGTGGAGAAGCCGAGAAGTTAGCAGCTGAAATGGCGGATCTTATGTATGATTATGACGTCATGTCCAGGTAAAATAAGTTGGCGCATTTTTATAATGGCGACTTGAAAATTTTATTTCATGAGTCATGACGTTGAACATATATGATGGAATAAAGCTTCAAATGGTCAATTTAGAGTTTAATTTAGTGGATAAAACTTAATTGTTTTTATATTTGATATTTTATTGCGTTCTAATTACAGAGTTCATTACTCCAAGTAATTGAAGATATTTACAACCAGTTCTTAAGATGGTATTTATGTTAATCGTTTCATGGATGATATTTACAAAGATGATGATAATTATTAAATCTATTTTTCTTTAGAATAAGTACTATGTTGGACACCATGAAGGGATCCTATCCAAAAATGACAAGTGGAATAGCTGGAGATCTGTTAAATCAAATTCAAACATCTATAAGACAAAAGGTAGAGTATCTACTGTTTTCTTTTAAATCAAACAATATATTACCCTATGTAATTTCAGAAATGCATTTATATGCATATCCTTTGATATGAAAGATTTTTTTTCTATTAATTTTTCCTTTGTTTAACTGGTAGTCTTTTTAAGCTTAAAACCACATTTTAAAAAAATGCCCAATTATATAATTTATTTGTTTTTCTCTTAGGACGAAGAAATGAGCTATTTGGACAAATGTTGTCTTCATTTGGCAATTAGGAAAAAGGATAGACCTGAAACCATCACCCTTCAGGTAGGTTTATTTATCCCAAGCTTTAAAAGTTTTGACTTAAAACCATCACCCTTCAGGTAGGTTTATCCCAAGCTTTAAAAGATTTGAACTAAAACCATCACCCCTTATGTAGGTTTATCCCAAGCTTTAAAAGACACGACCTTGAAAAATCCATTTAAAACGTGGTTTTTAAAACTTTTAAAACTTCTTATTTAATGAAAGATGCGACATGCAAATGTTCAATCTTCTCTCTCCTCCTGTATAATCTTGAATTATAATCCCTCCTATCCAGTAAAACGTGATTTTTTAAACTTTTGTAACTTTTTTAATTAACCAAGTTCACTTTTCCACGTATTTCTTCTGTAGGTAAGATGAATATGTTAAAGTGCACCAAAATAGACACGTGAAATCTTACATTTCCGTCTTAAAGGGAGTGTTTGGGAAATATGAAATTAGATTTAATGATGATTGAGTTTTTCTAATAACGGTTTCAAGTAATTTTTTCTTTACGGAAACATGGGAAAGAAATATAATTTAATAGATTAATTCGTAATAATCCTGATCATTTTTACGAACAGTCTCTTTAAAAAGTGAAAACCAACTATCTATATCTTTGCGGACTTGAGGGCTAAGGATATATTTACAATCGTAAAAACATGTTCATTCCTCACTTTCCTCTTGCCAGGGTTGCTTGTATTTGCCTAGGTGGGGGAAGGGTTGATTTAGCTTGGTTGGTAGGGGGTACGTTTAGATCAAGATTGTTTAGATTCTTAGCTGAAAATGGAAGACATCATTGGAGGGTTATGGTTTATGCGAGGGGAGGATATGTTGGAGTAAATAAATAAAAAAATAAAATACGATTTAAAGGTTGCAAGATATCATGCAAAATAAATTTTGCCACTTTTCTTTAAAAACTAAAGCTATATATTGAGCTAGAATATTAATGTCTAGATCGACGAAAAATATATGTAAATAAGTGATGATCAAGGCATTGTGACACCACAAAGTAAAACCTGTCTTGAAAATTGGTGCAACTTTTTACAGCAGTCGGAATCCATGTATGTCGGGAAAGAGAGGAAGAATTCCGGTATAATCTGCATGAAATTCCACCACAAAGTAGTTTACAGGAGTTCATAGGTTTCCACCATTGGTTTTCATCTCTCTGTCTTTTTAAGAAAAAGGAGAAATAACTTCAAAAAGTTAGAACAATTGCTTTATGATATAACTAGCCTGGGAATCCATCGTTGACAAGATTACTCATAGTTACTCCCGCCGTTTACCCGCACTTGGTCGTAAATCACGATTTTAGCTATTTTTCCCACCCAACTTAAAATCTCAAACCAAGCTAAGAACATTCCCTTGGTTATTCTGAGTTACTCAATTAAAACTGTAGGCAACGTTATCCAGGGGTTCATAAGTTATGATCGTACATCCAAACAGAGATTGCTACTTTATATATATATAGATTAACATGAAACCAGCATTGTGTTGCTTGAAACAACGAAATTAATCAAATCTTATTTTAGATGCAGACACCTAAAGTTAAAGACGAGTGGATTGTTGAGCTCAGATTGGCACGATTGGTGAGTTTTGCAAATTTTACAGAGTCTTTATGGCCCGCGCCTTACTCCATCTGTCGTCAATTTTTAGTACTAATAAAGACACACCCGGCCCTCACATTCCAGCCCTGTAGGGGGCTTATCACAGGTTTAACATAAACCACAGTTTATACCAATAAATAATAAAAATTCAACGGAAAAACTCTGGACACTCATTCGTTCAGTTTCTCGAACATTCTTTACAACTGCGCATTACTTGGACATTTGTTTAGATAGGGTGATCCAAAAATAGGGAAATGGTCCAAGAATATCTGTTTATATAGGGTGATCCAAAAATAGGGAAATGGTCCAAGAATATCTGTTTAGATAGGGTGATCCAAAAATAGGGAAATGGTCCAAGAATATTTGTTTAGATAGGGTGATCCAAAAATAGGGAAATGGTCCAAGAATATTTGTTTAGATAGGGTGATCCAAAAATAGGGAAATGGTCCAAGAATATTTGAAAGAATGTTATAAAAATTTTATTTGCGCGAGAAATCTCTAAATCAATAATAATATCAAATGTTAATTGAAAAAGCGGCAATTCGGTAAATAAAAGAAATTATGACTTCCCACCCCCATTAAATAGTTGTTCTCACCTTTATCTTGGCAACCTTTGATATTTTAATCTATGAATGCTGAAAGATCTAAAAGTTAAGGAGTATGATAAGAGTAATTAGTTATTATTAATTTTAAACGCAAATAAGAAGAAATCAATTCTCCATTTTGTTATTGATTAATTTATCAATGTATATTTCAATTGCTTAAGTGCCCGGCGTTGCCCGTGGACATTTTTTTTATTCAAATTTGTTCAGCCTTTGTTACCCTTAAGTTTTCTCGAAAAATGTCAGCCCACCCAAATTGGAGTAATCGTTTGGCCAGCTTTAGCTAACATATATTTTATTAAGGCGGTTGACCCATCTAACTCTCCGAGCTGGAATACTAAAGATGACCTTATCCAACCTGTTACGAGATTACCACTCTTCGTCAAAAATGTCGTCTCCCACTCAATCTCAGACAAGCAGGTAAAAGAAATTTCTGTGTACAGTGCTTCTCAAAATAATGCGGAATGGGTTTAAACTAATTCTTGTTGACTGTGGTAGACTTTGACATCTACCATTTAACACAAATTTTATAGTGTTTCTCTAAATAAGGTGGATTGAAAGGAATGCATCTCCTCTAGAAGGGCATGATTCATTATGCGAAGACATTAGAACAGAAATATGAACCAGTTTAATGATAACACATATTGTAAACAATCATCTATTCCCTGCAAACTAGACTTAGAATGAGGTGTTCAAACTAGCTGCGACATTAATGCTACCACTTATTTACCTAGTAGCTTCTCTAGTTTTGAATTTTGATACGATACGAGATACGAGCATAAGATAATCAAATTGATTAGTTTACCTTTCACAATATTTTTGTTCTTCTCAATAACTGTTCAGTTAGAGGAGTTATGATTGAAAACAACATTTAGGATTTAAATAATACATCGAATTTATTCAATCCAGTCCCAAAGATATGACCCACCGATGTTCTAATAAACGTCAAGTTTAATCTAAAATAAATCATCTCATTGTATACAACCAACTAGAGTGTTATTTTGATATTTTCATGTACAGCTTTGATTCTGTTGTTATTTTACAAAGACTGGCTGGCATCTTATTTCAAATTAACTTTTATGTTTGAATTTACAACTTTTACTGCTCTTTCTGAAATATGAGCTCCGTTTAAAGCTGTAAATGAAAAATGAAAATTTATAATGCATTTAAGAATTATCATCTCAGATCAATTTCTATCTTATCAAATAAAAAATTAAATTGCTATTTTAACTACATTTATGCCTCATATTAAAGATCTAGTTACACATTAAGCTATTCTTCTGAAAATATTAAAGTATTCAAATATTGTTTCTTTTCTCATTTTATTGTTATTTAAAATCGCATTAAATCTATCAATAGCCTCTTAATTTTATTTGATCAAAAATAATATTTTCTTTAGACCGAAATCACCTGTGGATTAAGCTACACCCTGATGGTTGAAACTCCGACCCGAACTCTAAAACCGGTTTCCTACATCTGGACCAACTGTACAGACGGAACGAGTTCCAGTTTGCGGATTTACTCCGCCATTAAGACCCAGCAGGTTGTTCTGAAGGAATTGGGAACTATTAACCCGCCTTGTCTGGTCAATTCTCTCATCTTCGTGCCGAAAGCTCCAGGACTGAACTCCATGTCGAGTGAGGATCGAAGGACGGATCAGGTTTGGGTGTCAGGGACGGATAAAACCATTCTTATCTATACTGGACTTGAGGCGGAGAAGGGGCGGGAGCTGGGGCGGATTTATCTTGTGGCGGAGCCAGTTGTTCTTCATTATCACGGCGGAGGAACCATCTGGGTTGGGTTGGCAGATGGAACTCTGTATATTTACAGAAGAGGTAATGATTATTATTATTATTATTATTATTATTATTATTATTATTATTATTATTATTATTATTATTATTATTATTTTCTTCATCATTGCTATTGTTCTGCATATTGACATAAAGATAAACTTTATAATGTTTAGGTTTGACAGGATTATGGGACACCAACAATCCTCAAGTTCTCCTAATTGGATCGGATCCCGTCTCCTGCCTGTCCCAGGGATCAGGGATTCTCTACGCAGCTACAGGGAGACGAATTACTCTGGTAGATTGTGAGAGTGTGGAGATTGAAAAGAGTTTTATCATCTCCCATCCTGAAATCCCTGAAACCAGTAGGATCACCCATGTAGCCCGGGCTGGGGTAGGACTCTGGGTTGCCATGTCTAAGAGTTCTCTAATAAATCTCTACCACACAGAAACCCTTGCGCATATTCAAAATATTGACCTCTCGGAGAACGTGGACAGAGTTCTTTCCGGACGGGAGAATGGAGTAAAAAGATTTGTGCACATCACCTCGCTATCAGTATCAACTGGGTTACTATGGATCGGAACTAATGTTGGATTAGCTCTGACCATACCTCTACCCCGTCTTGGAGGTATACCAACCATATCTGGGTCTGCAAACATATCATACCATGCCCACTACGGGCCGGTAAGAATGTTTCTTCCAATCAATCAATCTATCATCACTGAAGACTTACCTGTACCCAAGAAATCATATCGTTTGAGTACCACAAGCCAGGACACAATAGAAGAGGAGCCTGAAATCAAAATAGGTATCCACAAACTCAGTTCTGTGGATCGTGGAGCAGGGATCACCAAAAGGTATTCTTCGCCGCGTCTTGGATCAAGAAGGGATTCGGTTCAACGAAAGATAAGTGATTCAGAGCGAAGAGGGAGTAAAACCCTTCCTCGTGGATTTTCTCTCGCCAATCACTCCGACTGCGGGGATTCTATCTATGGTTTATATGAGGATCTTCTCAACGTCCAGGACTATGATTGTGAGAGCTCGGAGCTAAACAGATCCCGCCAAAACTGTCATAAATCCGACCCAGAACTCAATACGATCCCATACAGAGTCTCGACACTGGACCGACGAATGACGATGAAACTTCAGCGACCCCGATCCCTTGACCTCTCCTCCTGGTCGGTCGAGTCCAGATCATCCAGTCACACTAATTCAAGCTCAGACGGTTCAGAAAAAGCATTGACCCCTTCGGTTTCCAGAAATGCGTCATTTGTTTCTCAAAAGGCGTCAGAGCCTGCTCTTTTGCGTCAGCAATCAATGCGAAAACCTGCGAAACCAAAGTCTGAGCTGTCCAACCGTACACTGACCACCCTCATGGGTGGCCGGGGGTATATCAACTGGCGAACCTTCCGATCCTGCCCGCAGTCGGCCAAATTCAACAATAATGATGCCAGTCTCATCATCTGGGACCAAAAGATATAAATTCAGCAAAACAAGATGGCGAACATTGCTGTTCTAGCGGCCATCTTTATTTATGAACTATTTATGTCGTGTACCGTTCTATGTGGATTTTAAGATTTATATTGAATTAGCGTATACTATCTTACCATTTCTAACATTAGACATCATTAAAAATGAAATTATCCACACCCTGCATAAACGTATACATATAATTGGTCCAAATGCTTTTCTTTTATAGGCTAATCCCTGGCTGTGATTTGTTGTTGTGATAAAATATTAAAATTGAAATTTATTTTTGAAATTTGGATTTTTGTAATTTTTAAATCAGGTATTATTTGAACTGTTTCATGTACATGCCATGTCAAAAAAAAACTGTTCCACTAAAGAATTGTGACCTTATACAACCATTGAAAGGCAAACATTGTATCCTTTAATGCACTACTAGACTAGGAACAAAGGTAAAACATGTACATTAACGGTACATATTGATCATTTATGTTTACAGCTGAACAGTACGTGAACGGTTGCTGTAATTTGTCAATTTTTGGAAGATTTTAGGTGATTTATGTGTGAAAAATGTATATTTATAAGAATTTAAAATTTAATTCTGTGATCAAAATTTCAAATTGAATAAATGGTGTCTAAATGTTAAAACTAGGTCTTAGCTGAATTTATTTATGAACAAAGAAAGTTAAGAAAGTAAAAGAGGAAAATTAAAAAATCTGAAAGAAAGAGATAAAAATAAAAAGAACAATTGAATTATTATTGAATGATAATGTAAAAAAAGAGTTTGATAAATGAGTAAATGACAAAAACTATGTCACAATATAGCAACGATATGCCCAACAAATATTTTTTTAAATCTTAAGAAGTGAAAAAAGAGTATTTTTCTTTTGAAACCCCTCCATGTCCGATTCAAAACGTAAAATTTGTCTGATCAAAAGTGATTGAGATATCCTTATGTTTCTTGCCGGTAATTTTCCCTTGTGGTTTCTCTGTAAATTCGCTGCAAGGACAGGAAAGCTTTTAAAAATATAAAATGAAAATATCTTCCTCATTTTTACTCAAAAAGAGGTTTAAAAATTACGGCGTTGTGAATCGGACTTTTTTAAATGGAAGATCACTTGAAAATTCCTCTACAGTCCCTTTAAACAAAAAATCTAGCAAATTTTCCCAAGTAAAGAAGGTTATATCGTTGGGCGTTAACAAGCGTTTCAGTGTTCAACACATGCTGAATGTTATATATAATAATATAGACTATAAATCTAGTTGTCAAATAATTTTGTAATTCAAATGTTAAAAAAAAATAATTACTGATTTCAAAACTACAGCGATATTTCAATATAAAAATGTAGGAATAATAATTTCACTGTTTTCTGTTTACCACTGTATCATGTGGCCTGAAGACTAGAGGGGAGAGAGCGGATATATATATATATATATATATACGGGTACCAGTATACACTATATCTGCCCTATATTATGAATTATAGAATACTTAATCATTTTATTCTATTAGAGATTTTTAGTTCAATCACTCATAAATCTAATACAAGCTTTTAACAAAACAGTTTGTTTTTAATCTTCGTGACAGAAAAAATCTCAAGAACTGACGTGGGTCAACCTAGACCGAAATATATTTTCAATAAAAGTGGTACTAACATCTACTTTTTTTTACTCTACAGAGGTTTGGTCCATCACCATCACCGAATTTTAAATCTACCTGAACCCTGATGGATCCTATAAATTCATTAATCATTATAGAGTAACTACTAGAGGTTTGGTCATAACTGCAAACATACATAAATTCTTTTATTATATACATATATTAAGATTCTCTATTATCCACTCCAATTTTAAATCTCATTCTTGACAGGAGTTAGAATTCTGTTTTCAAATTAAGATCTATGAATTTATCAAATAACGTCAATGTACTTTGGGGTAATAAACTTTTACCTAAAAGTACACTTTTTTGATCACACAAATTTACTTTTCATAAAAAGACTAACATTTAGAGGACCCCCTAAACAATCCCAAAAACCTGGCTGTTTCATGTTATACCTAGAGTAAAAAGTTGTCTGACAACATATTAGGAATTCAAAACATATTTGCTCTTCTCCATATTTTAAATCTTACAAGCAATTTATTAAAGTTAAACTTTACGTAACATTTTATTATGTAACACTTTAAACAATCAGAATAGGTCGAGCTGTCTTCGGTCAATTTTGATAGGTTCAACTGTCTTCGGTCAATTTCGATAGACCAAACTATCTTCGGAAAATTTCGTCGAAAATGCGCAACTAAATTCGCAAAAATTTTGAACGTAAATGAACGAATTTTGTTCGTTCATTTTCGTGAATCTCATTCAACAAAAAATTAGATGGAAACCCTACTGACTTTACATGCATTCCTCGAAGATCCCGAATGTCCAACGAGGTTTTTCAAAATTCGAATGTAATATTTATTTACTGCGACTTTTAGAAAATAAAACCAGCTTGCAAACAAAGAGATCAATAATTGCAACTGTTTTGTAAATAAGGAGAAAGCTTGATTATCCTTAATCAGTTAAATGTATATAGGGTGCTGGTGTGAATAGGACAGACCAGTCTACAAATACAGGGTCCCTTGAACAAACACATTCATTCCTCAACAGCTTCAGGAAAGATTCCGTAAAACATTTCCGCCATAAAATAAATCCGGAAACAAAGGGAAAAAAGAGCATTTGGTCTTAGGAAATATGTCTCATAGCACACTAAACTATGCTAGTTTGGTAGGTCAAGTAGGCCTCAGCAAACTAAACTGCTAGTTTGGTAGGTCAAGTAGGCCTCAGCACACTATACTAAGCTAGTTTGGTAGGTCAAGTAGGCCTCAGAACACTAAACTGATTGTTTGGTAGGTCAAGTAGGCCTCAGCACACTAAACTGCTAGTTTGGTAGGTCAAGTAGGCCTCAGCACACTAAACTGCTAGTTTGATAGGTCAAGTAGGCCTCAGCACACTAAACTGCTAGTTTGGTAGGTCAAGTAGGCCTCAGCACACTAAACTAAGCTAGTTTGGTGGGTCAAGTAGGCCTCAGCACACTAAACTAAGCTAGTTTGGTGGGTCAAGTAGGCCTCAGCACACTAAACTGCTAGTTTGGTAGGTCAAGTAGGCCTCAGCACACTAAACTAAGCTAGTTTGGTGGGTCAATTAGGCCTCAGCACACTAAACTGCTAGTTTGGTAGGTCAAGTAGGCCTCAGCACACTAAACTAAGCTAGTTTGGTATGTCAAGTAGGCCTCAGCACACAAAACTGCTAGTTTGGTAGGTCAAGTAGGCCTCAGCACACTAAACTAAGTTAGTTTGGTAGGTCAAATAGGCCTTTTTTAAACCCGGTACTGAAAAAAGTCCTGACCGCGGCAATAAAATTGAAACGGGGCCGACCTAGGATAAGGGTGGCCGGTACATGCTACGCGTCACTCAGGCTGGTACAAGGAGTCGGTGCGGTTCAAATTCAAACTGACCCTAGTTTACCATGATTGGGGAGTTCATTTTACAACTAAAGTCTGAGAATACTTTTGAATTTAATTTCAGACACAATCTAAATATAATTGAAGCCTAGAAATCTTGTGAATTTTAATCCTAATTTATGGTTAAGAATTCAAGATACGGCTTGGATACACATATTCTCAATCTGCACCGCCTGGAATTTTAACCATGTGTGAATGAATGAGTGTCTATATTCAAAGGAGAGCCTTATTATTTAATTTTTACATGGGGCGCTAGGGAATTTTACTCAAACACATTTTCCCTTAATTCTAAACATTCCCCCCCTTTCCCCTAAAGGAATACTGTTGTCGCAAAGGAACAAGATTCTGACGATGAACAGATAGACAAGGACTTATGTAACGTAAAGACTGTTACAGTAACCTAACACCTTTTGTAAAGTAAAGACTGTTACAGTAACCTAACATCTTGTGTAACATAAAGACTGTTACAGTAACCTAACATATTATGTAAAATAAAGACTGTTACAGTAACCTAACAACTTATATAACGTAAAGACTGTTACAGTAACCTAACGTCTAATGTAACGTAAAGAATGTTACAGTAACCTAACATCTTATGTAAATTAAAGACTGTTACAGTAGCCTAACATCTTATGTAACGTAAAGACTGTTACAGTAACCTAACAACTTATGTAACGTAAAGACTGTTACAGTAACCTAACATCTTATGTAACGTAAAGACTGTTACAGTAACCTAACACCTTATGTAACGTAAAGACTGTTACAGTAACCTAACATCTTATGTAACGTAAAGACTGTTACAGTAACCTAACATCTTATGTAATGTAAAGACTGTTACAGTAACCTAACATCTTAAGTAACGTAAAGACTGGTACAGTAACTTAACATCTTATGTAACGTAAAGACTGATACAGTAACCTAACATATTATGTAACTTAAAGACTGTTAAAGTAACCTAACATATTATGTAACTTAAAGACTGTTACAGTAACCTAACATCTTAAGTAACGTAAAGACTGTTACAGTAACTTAACATCTTATGTAACGTAAAGACTGTTACAGTAACCTAACATCTTATGTAACTTAAAGACTGTTACAGTAACCTAACATCTTATGTAACGTAAAGACTGTTACAGTAACCTAACATCTTATGTAACGTAAAGACTGTTACAGTAACCTAACATCTTATGTAATGTAAAGACTGTTACAGTAACCTAACATCTTAAGTAACGTAAAGACTGTTACAGTAACCTAACATCTTATGTAACGTAAAGACTGTTACAGTAACCTAACATCATATGTAATGTAAAGACTGTTACAGTAACTTAACATCTTAAGTAACGTAAAGACTGTTACAGTAACCTAACATATTATGTAATGTTAAGACTGTTACAGTAACCTAACATCTTATGTAACGTAACCCCTGTTACAGTAACCTAACATCTTATGTAACGTAACGTCTGTTACAGTAACCTAACATATTATGTAACGTAAAGACTGTTACAGTAACCTAACATCTCATGTAACGTAACATCTGTTACAGTAAACTAATATCTTATGTAACGTAAAGACTGTTACAGTAACCTAACATCTTATGTAACGTAACCCCTGTTACAGTAACCTAACATCTTATGTTTAGTCTATTTTCAGATTTTTTTAGATGAACGAACTCCTTGCAAAATCTTTTTATTGTAAAAAATAAAAAAATTGGGAATTTAAAAATATGAAAGACTTGGTACTTTTACAGGTCCATCAATACTTAAAACATATTTGACATTTTTACTTTCTACGAAATGGTTTTTAACATTTATGGAAATCATTCAAATTATGCATTATTTCTTCCAATTATTCAAATCCATGTAAATTGATTTTATTATTAGAATTATGTTAATGAATCATACATGACAAAAAATCTAATCTTTTAAAAGAGCGTACGAAGGCAATCCTATTAATCTAGTTTTAAGCAACCAGAATCTAAAATAATCAATTTTCAGGTAGAAAAAAATAAGTTTTTTTCTTATTTATTTTAAACATGGTTCAGACATGTGCAATTGTGCATCTTTATTCTGAACTACATGAGTTGAATTTATCTAATCAAGTGAATCTTCAAAACTTGTTGAAAACCGGATTGAACCGAGATAAAGCAAGAGTAT